ATTTTTAAGCAATTATTAAAAAATTCAACATATTATGTAAACTAATAATTAAGTCATATTATATCAATGTAATAATGCTAAAAATTTATTTTTTAAAAAATTATATACATTATATAAATTTTTCAACTTTGAATAATGAATTTAAATAATAAATTAAAAAAAAGAAAAAATTATTATGTAAAAAAAAAAACTGTAATATATAAAATTACAATAAGTAAGAAATGTTTCTATTTAAAAATAGAAAAAATTCTAAATTTATGTTTACAAGATTTTTTTTAATTCTGAAGAAAAGCAGAATATGATATTAAATTTTGGTGATTCTTCTATTTCAGTGATATAGATATAGAAAAACATAATCAACATAGAATATTATATAGAAATATATCTGAAATTATAATGAACAAATTAGTGCATAATTATCATTATAGTTAAGATATGTTTTATAAATTATTCTAAGACATTAAAAAAAAATTATATTATGTGCTTAAAAGAATGTTTATAGAAATATTGCATAATTTTAATTTAATGTTGACTGATATTGTAAACGAGATAATATTTATATCTTAATATTTATATCTTAAGATAAATTTAATTTGTTAATATTTTTTTAGGTGCGTGAATACGACTGTGTCTTAATAGTGAACTTTTGTCGGTAAAAGATTTTTCACATTCTACACATTTATATGTTCTACCAGTATGTGTAACCAAATGTCTGCTAAGTCCAGATGCATGACAGAAAGCTTTAGGACAAAGTTGACAATGATGCAATTGAATATCATTTGGATCTAATTTTTGATGCCTTCTCATATGTACTTTTAATGCTTCTCTTTGAGTAAAACTTTTATCACAATGTTGACATTGGAATGGTTTTTGACCAGAATGAGTCATGAGATGGCGAAGTAAAATTTCTTTCTGTGCAAAGGCACGATGACAAATATTACAACCAAATGGTTTTTCACCTATATAAAATATAATTTTAAAAATAAAAATTTAAATGCATATATTTATTCAATTTTTAAAATAAAGCATTACCTGTATGAGTACGTTCATGTCTCACTAAAGCTGATCTAGTAGGAAACCATTTTTCACAAGCTTGACATGTAAAACCTCTTTGTGTAGAATGAACAGACTGATGACTTTTTAACATTATTCTTCTGGTGAATGCTTTTGGACATTTATCACATTGAAATACTTTTAATTCTTCACTTGTTTCAACTTAAAATAATAAAAAATTTAGATACATTAAGAAAAAGAAGTTTCACAGTATAGAAATCATAGATATATATATATAATATTTATTACCCATGGTATCACCAATTGGTTGTAATTTTAATGTTTCTCCTTGACTTGAACTATTACTTGTAACTTCCATCATATAAACATTTTTATGATCAGCATTTGCAATTGCTCTTTGTACTTCTTCTGCCTCATCCTCTGATTCTTGTTCTTGTTTAATACGTGATGTACGTATTGTGCAACGTGCTTTAGCAGCACGTTCTTCTGCAGGTACTAATGTGATATTTTCTGGATCTTCTGACATTGTTTCTTCCATCTCTATATTTTCAGAATTCATTCCTATATTTAATAAAAATATAATAATTTATAAAATAAAATTGAAAAAAAATTATATACTAATTAAATTCTAAAAACAAATAAAAACTTTCAATATACCTAAAATATAACCACCAACAAGTTCTTCTTCTGTCACTTCAATCGGATCTCCATCTTTTTGTCCACTATTACCTTTAATTGAAACTAAATCAGCCAATAATTGTTTAACTTGTTTAGATTTTCCACTGTTGGAAGAATCTTTTAATTCATCTCTATTGCTATCCTGATTTTCTCCTTCTTCACTTTGGCCAGTTAATTGTTGAATTAATTTCATATGTTTACGAAGTTTTGCATCAGCAGCTTCACATTTTTTCTTAAATTGATAGGATTTTTCTAATTGATATTTGCATGGATGACAAATCATATTTGGAAGACCATCTTCTTCATAAACCTACAATATATGAAATTTTATTAATTTTCCACTAATATATTAATTATTTATAAGCTTATATATAAACTCATAAAATAAGATACAATATTTAAATTATTGTTTTATATAAAATAATAATATATATTATCTTATAATATTTATAATAATCGTTTAAATATTTGCAAATCATTTTTTTTTTAGTAATATATAAAAATAGGTTTGTACGTTTTCATTTTAATTATAATAAATTATATTAATTTATATTTAAATTATATTTTATGTTTACTTATATCTCAAGTTTTAAAATTTTGAAACAATGGAGATAATGAAAATATTGAAAAATTGTATAATGAATTCAAAAAAAATATTCATGATATAATGAAATGTTAGTAGAAAGAAATATTAGATATTTTGTCTTTTTTATATGTTGCAATTATTTATATCTAAAGTAAAAGGAAAAAGTTCAGTGGACATATATAAAGTGTCAATATTAATACATTGGCTATAATATTACAGATTTCTATAAATCCATAGGGTAAATGATCTGTAATGCAATGATACGCCTTGTCTAGATTCCTGTAATGAAAGAGAAGGTGGCGTCGACATATCGTGAACGTAAAGTCGATAACTCGGTAAAGCCGGTAGTTGCTTTGCGCAGTGTGTCGCGCGTTGCCCGAGACCTAAAGTTAAATCATAGACGGTTCTATATCTCGTCTGTGGTTAAACGTTTCCTTTATACCTACATCGAATGTATAAGTGACCCTCACAAATACAGAGTAAAATCGAAGAGTGGGGTAAAAATGAGATAGAGAGAGACAAAGAGAATCTCACGCAGAGAGATAAACTAGATTCCTATTTTTCGATAAGATTCCTATATACGTACGAAAGATGATTAACTAATGCGATTTTAACTTAAATTTGTCACATATTTATTAAATTAAATCTTCTAACTTACCTCCAGATTAACACAAGCCATTATTCGCAAAGATAAGGGAATAGTTTCATCGTCGTAAATCGGCACCATCTCCTCCTCCTTTGCCAAGCACAGTCGGCACAGCTCGTTCACATGAATGATTACGTTACTCGTGCTATCACCCTTTTTTCTGCTATACGTTTTCATTTTGATGTTCTTTAAAATCTTCTACACGTTCGTTACGTAGATATTTCACCTTTAATGTCGAGGAGAAATAGAGTTTTCCCTGGAAAACTCTGGAGAACGAGACTCAGTCACACACAACGGAATCTATAATGGCGGCGGCGTCGGTTGCGGCGGCAGCGACGATTGACCAATGGCGGACATACGGCGCTGTAGTACAGCAAAGATGGAGAATTGTGAATTTTCTACACGCGGGAAGGAGAAAGATGGTTACGTATAAAAGAGAAACTGCGTCGTTTAGGGTCTTCGTCATCGCAAAGTCGGTAAGGCCGGTAACTATTATTGATTTTCTATTCTTCCCAACGGCGGGAAATAATCTTCCATTTGCTATTATAGCGGCATATTCGAATTTTTTTGTATTTAATATTTTCACATTATTATATTTCTTATTTCTTATATTAAGTTGTTAATTACAAGAAATGATTATCAATAATAGCAATAAAGATGGCAATAAATGCATTAATTTTTATTATTTCATAATACTGACTAAAGAAATAATGTTTCGCATTGGACTGCATTCGAACAATGGTTTTCGTAGAATATCGACCGTTCAGAGATACGTATTAAAAAACTTTAATATTTTCTTCACTAATGTTATTACAAATAATATAAATAGAAATTATTATTACAGTTAATTATATTAATTATGATATAATTTCTATATTTTTAATGTATAGCAATTATAGATAGTAATATTAACATTTTCATTATCCGACTCTCTTGATAAGAAATTTATATATATTATATATATATATATATATATATATATATATATATACATAAATTAACTGCTATGCTTTTATTTGTAAAATTGCTTAAATGAATATACTAAACATACGTATTTAATATACTTAATTATTTTTGTTTTTCTATTAATAATTTATTTCGTAATATACTATTTTTTTTTATATTAATTAAATTGTTGTCGCACATTTATAATGATTATAAAAATGATTAAATAAATCTAAAACTATTTCAATTATTTTTTTTTATTTTTAAAAAGGAAATTATATATTATAAAAGATAAATAATTTATTTTTTATAATTTTATATTATTATTATAATTAAAGAATATAGAATTTATTTTTTGTTTTATTTTAAAAATAATTAACGTATTTAAAAATTTCTAATTAATTATTATGAAATTTATTTATTTAATCATAATTATTATTTATTTAAATATAATTAAATTTTTTTTACTCATACTAAAAATTAAATTTTTAAAAAGGATTTTTTTATTATACTTATATGTTTTTTATAATATCGATGCAATCGATTTTTTATAATTATGAAATATTATAATAGAAGGATTATTTATATATATAATAATATAATTTATAAATATAATTTATATTTATATATCTATTATATTTATTATATATCTATAAATTATATTTCATTAATTTTTTATAATCAAAAATACAATAATCAAAATGCAAAAATCTTTTATCCATTGTATTTTTCAAGATAGAATTTTCTAAAAATATTAATTAATTAAGGAAGTATGTAGATATTTAAAAATAAGTTTCCGTTTTGACTGTAATATAAATATAAAATTTTTACTATGAACATATATATGTCACATATATTTAAAATTTATGTATTCATTAATCGAAGCAAACAATTCAATATTTAATATTGGATAATTTATATCAAGATAACATTATCATCAGGTATAAGTGCATGCTAGATAATTTTAAAAGAAAATGGTATCCATCGCATCTGCGATGGTAAACAACAAAGTTTGTTGGAAAGTTATCAACAATTTAAAAAGAGAGAATTTCAGGAAACGCAAAACAATTTCCTACGTTTGCCAAAAACATTGTCAGATATGAAGATTGGTGGAGAATAAGGGTCGAAAATAACTAACAAGTCAGAAGAGGAAAGGAGAGTGATTCGACGATTCTTCCGATAGAGAGGGGGTGATTCCCATTACTTCTCTCGTGCTTTCGCTTTTCCGTCCAGTGTGTTTCGCCACTGAGGAACCCGCGTGCCTTGCGTTTTAACGCGAAGGTAGGTGCTCGTCATTGTGATCCTCATGCTTCGCATTTTCGTCTTGTAAATCCAGAAATTTCATCAAGTGATTTAGGGGATGATTCATTTGTATAACGATACAACGGAACGAAATTAATTGAAAAAAAAATGTGTAAGAGAAAACTAGAAAAATAATACAAATTTTTGCTATAATATGTATTTATAACAAAAAATATATATAAATACGTGATTTAATTACGATTTAAAATTTATTTAACAATATATTTCGATGTAACATTATGTTTTTTAAAATATATTTGCGATGAGGTTTTATAGTACAAAATAATATAAATCGTGTTATTAATAAAAATTCTTGGTAATATTAACGATAAACAAAGATTTTATATTTGCATAATTCATACAAATTATGCAATGTGATATATGAAAATAGAAAATCATTTAAGTGTATATATTTTACATACTTAACATTTCATTATATCATATATCATTCATTAAATTCATTTCATTAAAAAAACAAAAATATATATATTCAATCACATTTTTTTTTTACTTTTTTCATAATAATTTTTCATGATTTTTATATAAATAAATATCAAATGATTTCCGTTTATTTTATCCGAATAAATAGTTTGTTATCATACAATTCGAAGAATATTTAAATATTTGCGTGAAACATATGATAAGAAATATGCTCCGCCTATTCCATTAATTTATCTATATGTTCGGTTTTTTTCTATATTATACGAAAATTTAAAACATCAAGTTATTTGCTTTCGCTTTATGTTTTATTTGTGCTTTATTTGTTTAAGAATGATTGAATTTTATACTTATTATAAAAAGAAACTGTCGGTAACAAATGATTATGGAATCGACTGAATATATCAACGATTGTATATCCAGTTGCGATACGATACAATTGATTTTTAAAGCGGTCGTTGGTAACTCGTTTTAAACGATTATCGACTATGATATGAATGATATTATTTTTAAACGATATTAAACGATCAATTCGAATAACGTTTTAATTTTTATTTATTGATATTAAATTATACAATACATAAGTACAGTTACTATCAGAAATGCAATTTTATCTATATTGTTTTTATTTACTAAAACAGAATAAATATCATAATTTTTTTTTAAAATAAAAATCTCAATGTTATTCAATCTCATTTTTTTTATAAAATATTTGTGATTTAAAAAAAATAGTTATAAAAAATCATTACATATAGCATAATTAAAGGTTTTTATGAATATGACATTGTAATACATGTTAAAATAGATAGTGTGTATCTATTTTTTAGTATAAATATATATATATTTATTTAGCAAACAAAGACAAGTTTCAGTCAATTTTGAACATTTCTTGTTGCGTTGTCAGAAACATTATTACTATGTAAATATATATAATTAAAGAAATATCAATGTAAACTAAAAAATATGATCGTAAATTTTCAGAAATTTTCATTATAATGTTAATCAAAATTTTGATATAAATAATTGTTTGAAAAACTGATATGATGTTTTATCTTGCAAATAAAACTTATTTTTAATAAATCTTAATTTTTAATTGCAATTTATAATATAAACATTGTTTAAATATTAAAAAATATAAAAAAACTTAAATAGATATCGATTACATAAAGAAAATGGAGTTGTATAGATTATATATTTCAAAAAATAGATTTTTGAAATTAATTGTCGTCTAAATCTTTTGAAAAGTTTGACTAGTTTCTCAATATATTGTCGAATCTGCAATTCCACTGTAATCTAATACGATCCAGAAGTATCATTAGGTGCTTCAGGTCACGAAGTGAAAAGAGGGAGATGTAGAGATTTTGCGGACGATGTAGATATATTCGGAGGAATTTCGTAGCAAAAATAACTTCGGTAGACTACCGGTGGCTGCCCAGCAGTGACGCGTCAGAGAGAATCCGAAACTTTCATAAGATAAACGTGCGTTTTGCCCATGTACATCTTCGTTTTTCAATTCTTCGCTGTTTTCGTTCGAGTTTCCGGCCATTAATGACGGCGTAACCGAGTTCCAGACTGACAGTTTAACTAGTATGAAGTACTTAAATAGAAACAGTTTATTTACTATTTAAATTTTTAAATTAATTTTATTAATTAATTTAAACATAATTATAGACATAATTTTAAATATTTTCGTTTTAAAAAATGATTTAAATCATTTTTTTTCTTTTCTTTTCTTTTCTTTTTTTATATCCAAAAATTTTTTTCAATAAAAGATATTAAAAACATTTTTTAAAATAGACAATTTTTTTTTAAATAAAAATAATTTTTTAATTACAGATAAAAAAATTTTTATTATTTTGCAGTATAAAAACTTTTAGAATTGTGTTTTAATTCTATATTATATGTATTTGTTTTATTCATTATTGATTTTTCATTCATATTTCAATTATTATGTAATGTATATTAAAGTAGGAATATGAGATATGCTTTCTATTTTTGATCTAGAATTGAAAATGTCTTCAAATATTAATAAACAAGTTTAATGATAAACAAGTTTTAAATACAATCACAATTTATTTTATTTTATAATAATACATATATGATTTTTATTTAATAAACATAAGCAGTTTTTAATTTTAATTGTTTTAAATTTTTTTTGTTCTTGACTATTGAATAAATCTTTGAATCTTGAACTTTATTTTATTATTTATTAATAAGCTTCAAATTTCTTATACATATTACTATCAATTAAACAAGAAAATATTAATGAATAATTATGAATGAACCACTATTTATAGAAGATTAATGTAATTTTCATTTTATTTATATTTGAATCATTAAAGATCTTACTACTATATATAGATCATATAGATTATTTTACTATTTTCTTTATCTTATTACTATAAAATGATCTATTTCAAAATGAAAATATTTTTGAATAATAATATTATCGAAAAAATTTAAAATATTACAGTAACAAAATGTTCATTATAATTATAAATGTTCTCATAATTTTTTATGAAGAAAATATATCTTTGAAACTCCTGAGTTATGATCAATATTATAATATAACTTTTCGACTAAACTAAAATAAAATATACGATTTATTTATTATGATTTCAAATTATATTTCTAAGGAATTTAAAAAATTTCTATTTTAAATATAAAATCATAGAAGATTATCCGTTTTAAAAATAAACTTTTTATCATTAAATAAATATCAATAACAATATTGGAACATTAACATTTGAAATATTAATATTTACAATTTTTATTTTTTTTGTTCTTTCAGTTTTTTTTACATGTCAGTTTAATTAAATAACATAAATAAAACGTTTTTCAATTTTTAAAAATCATACGTGCCAGTAAATTCAAAATATATCTTATAAATTATGAAAGAAGCAAATATAATGCAAATGTAATAAGAGTTAAAAGTTAATGTATGCGAAAATGTCTGATTACTGCTTTCTTATTTCGTGATTCAGATCCCATTTTCATGTTACGCTCCTGAGTACATTTCTTGGCACGAATTTTCGTACAACCATCATCGGTTTGGATATCAAATATCCAAACATTCGTCGAACGATCCCGAAACATCGTGACGATGATTCGTGACCCACTTTTTGCGTTTGTACTTTACTTCGTTACAATATGCGATCAGTTCGACGATGAATCATCGTTGGCTAATAGTATTTATGTTACAAGATCGCACGTTCGATCCTCTTCTTATAATTATTCACGTGCCAATCCACAGTAATGTATCGTCCAATCAGGAATAACTGTAATTCAGTGTTTCCCAATATTTTGTCGAGCAATATTAAATATCTTTTGTAATATTGAAACTATTTGCAACTCTATTTTGTAATATTTAAAATTATTTACGATTCATTTTGCAATATTTAAATTATTTGCAAATAGTCAAATATAAATTATTTGTGAATAGTCCGATATAAATTAAGAAACATTTTGAAAATATAATATTTTTTGATTGAAAAACAAACTATCTTTGAATTAATAATAATATTCAAATAATATTCAAATATTTAGTTATATTATTGTTATTTGCAAATCTTTATAAATCTCTTGATTTACATTCCAAGTTTAGAATTTTATTATGAAAAATTATTAAAATCAGGAATTGAATAATGTCGAAAATTTGAGTTATTGATGTAAAAATTAAAATTATCAATTAAAATATGTGATTCTTTTCGCGATTTAGATTGAAAACTACTGCCTAGTTAATTACTGTCAAAATTACGACACAAAAGTTGGCATAACATATAAGAGATTCGTAAAATTTTCTAAATTAGTAACCATAAATGTTAAATTAAAGCTTGTTTAGAATGATTTAGTCCAAATCTTGTGTTAGTTTGCCAAACGATAATTATACTTTATGTCTTATTTCTTTCTCCTTAATTTGACCTTATTTATCGAAGCATATCGCAATATATTCATAATATATCGTTTTATCCATACATATACCGTATATATCATTTGAATAACAATTTTGTTATTTAACATAACTATACATACAATAAATGTTAATTATTTCTGTTTTTACTAGTACATTGCTACGAAGGTCATTTGCACATTTTATCACAATACAAGTCAAACTACAAGTTATTTATTATCTATTATTTAAAAAAATAAATTTTCTTTAAGTAGTTATATATAAGATATAAAATAAAATGGTTATAATAAAATAAAATGGTATATAAAAAAAAATTATAGCATGAATCGAAGAATAATTAAAAATTTTTATTTTATTATAAATAATGTCTTAACGGATTTTGAATAACTTGGTTGTTATGATAACAAAATTCCTTATGACATGTTTTATCGTTTTTTATCATATTTTACATTTAAAAATTATATAATAAAAATTCAATACTTCGTTCCACAATATCAATGATAAAAAAATAATTTTTATATTATTGAAAAAAAAATGCAGAAATTGAAATTTTTATACATAAAATTTTTTATATTATTACTTGTTATTTTTCAGAATTAGAAATTTATACAAAAGCGCAAGTATGTCCGCACAAAGGACAATGTTCGTGAATAAACAGTTCAACTCTCCTATCAATTTGTATTCACCTCAAGCAATACAGGAAGCCTTGGACAGACAAACTCAAGTTTTATCTAATGGCGCAGTTGGGTAAGTCAATTTCCTCATTTTTAAAAATTAATAAACTTAATGACTCATTTTATTATCTATAATTTTATCTATAGTTAATTTTTATGCGGAAATTTGATGTGCAATGTAACTTTTAAAATTATTTTTTGTTTATTACTTATAGTAAGAAGTAATTTATGTCCAGTTCCAAAGTTTAAGTATAATTTAAATATAAATAAAATTTTCAAGAAACAAATAGATATGTATACTATTTTCATACATTTTTAATATTATTATATTTTTTTCATGCATTAATAATAATATATTTATATCTTAATATAAATTATAATTATATAATTATATGTATAATATAATTATATTTAATTAAAAATTTCAATATAATTTAAATATTAACGTAAATTTTATTTTCATAAATACAATTTATTTATATTATTAAGTTTTTTCTTTTTTATTTCTTAGAAAATTTTCTAATTTTGTTTTAAAAAGATAATTGTACTAAAAAGAATTCATAATTTTATAATAATAAAAAGAAACTTTTTGAATAATATCAAATAAAAATAATTCTTTTTTCGCAAAAATCATTCAAGTACGTATATCATTAAAACAGAATTTGTATTAAAAATCTAATCTAATTCTTTTAATTTTTTTATTTTTATAATTTTTTTTTCTTGAACATACATACCTTCTCTTCCCCTCCTCTCCTCTCTTTATCAAAATCTAATACAATTTGTTCAATTAATTATCAATTAATTAAAATATATATTTATGTAAATATGTATTTATGTAGCTATAAATTGAATACATTCTTACTTGAATTTTGAAATTTTTTAAGAAACATTTTTAAAAAATATTATTTTAAAATTATTTTTTTAAAGTTACTTAAAAATTAATCTATTTTTGAAATAATATAAATATTTCATGAAGTATATATAATTATTTTCAAAATATTATTTGAAAACTTTCTGTCCCATTATATTATATTATATAAATTCGGAAGTTTGAGTTTAAGAATCAATAATAAAACTTATTGAGAGAAGCGATTGATATCTGCGACCAGTTTGCATCAATGAAAATAGAGGCTGCATCTGATTATTATGTGCCGTTCGATGGATTTATATCGATTCTCCATCAACGTGTGGATGCTGACCGGTTGCAGGTCGATGAATCAGCCTTCTCGTCGTCATTGGCGCGCGAATCGTTATTTTCAGAGGTCCGAATCACACGAGTTAGAAATAAACCCCTCTCAGAGCCTATAGCTATTGCGCAAAATCCACGAACACTGTCGTACTTGACTTAGTTTTGCGTTTGGTGGCCTCGGGGTGTACCGTTCACCACCGGTTTTCGCGTGTCAGTTATACGACTTCCTTTCGGTATCGTGCGCCCTTCCCTCGTAACGAAGATGCTCGCTCAGACCAGGTGATCATCCTACATTTCATTCTTTCAATCGTATCTCTACAAAAAGAGTGTTACTAGTCAACAATTTTCATTTATCATTTTATAGTTACTAGAAAAAAGTTTGTGTTACAGTTAATATTAATGTTATTTTATTCAATATTTGTAATATATTAGCGAATCATTTACTTGCTTTGCTCTTTCGATAAATTTCTTGATTTCAATTTGTAATATTTTTCTTATGGGAAATGTGTAATTTTGTTTAAACAAAAAAATAATTGATTGAATAGAAAAATTGTTAAAAAAAATCGATGTAATGCTCTTAATATAACAAATTGATTGTTATATTAATAATTGATTCAATTTTTATTTCTAATATTATTGTAAATCATTACGAAATGTACATCTATTTTTATAATATCTATATAATACATGTAAATATCAAAATTTTGAATTGCATGAGATTTCAAAAATTTTAAATTTTTATTATCTTTTTATTAAAAGATAAAAACGAATTTATTTTGTTAAAACAAAATAATATTTATAATTAAATTTTATAATAAAAAAAAGAAAAAAGAAATATAGAGAATAGAGAGAATTTTATAATACAATAGAAATTATATTATTAGAATATAATATAATCAAATGGAAAGTATAATTATAAAAACTTTATAATATTAATAATAATCATTCATGTTATTATTTATAATAATTCATGTTTTTGTGGATTTTTCAGAATTGATTTCAATCAGCTTGCAAAACCAGCAAATTTACAAAATAGCGCGGTTTTACGAATGCTCGAAGAAGAAGAGGCTAGGCAACGAGCTGGTCAAGCTGGTAAATAAATAAAAATCGTTCAATTTCTTTCAGATAAATCGTTTCTTGCTATTAAATGAATTCTTATAATATTTAATATTTATCTTTTAAATAAATAAGCAAATATAAAATAATAAACCGGTAAATAATATTATATAAGTTTAGAGAAACATCTATTATTCAGTGCAGTGAACTTTTATAACAAGAGTGTAATTATTTTAAATTTATCTTAACAAGCGATTTCAAATTCTTTAAAAATAATGAAAAATTTATAGCTATATATGTATAATAAATAAATTCCACAATTTTAAAATATTTTTTATGAATCTTATTAATTTGATATTAATTCAATGATTTTCTAAATTATCCATTTAATTTTTCAAAAATATTACTGCATCAATATTGACTTAAGATACAAGTGTTCTTCTATCGTTTCACATATTTGGCGAGAAGTCAAAATTAAGACACAAGAAAATATTTTTTTGGTCAGATCGAAGTAAAAACTTAAATATTTTATTAATTCGTATCACTCTGTATAGGATACATTTAGTAAAAGACACTTAGACAAATTAGACTTTTTAATGAATTTTTCTCGTTTAAAAATAATATGATTTATTCGCAAGAAACGATTTTAAATTTTAACTGTTACGAAAAGACGACGTATGCATTGTATAAAAGAAAATTAATCAAAAGATTTCAGCCACTGAAGCACGAAGTCGCGCATTAACCTAAATGAAGAAGACTAACAAGAAGCGAATCTTATGCTGCAAGCTGTTAATCATGAGCCAGGGAGACTAATATCACTTTCAGTCAAGCCAGTTTAACGTATCTACGGAGAGGTGAACACTAACAATATCACTTGCACGAAAAGCTTTGAGAGATCCTTTCTTAGATTTTGCTTTCTATCCCTGCTTGATAATTTGATCATAGTATCATATCGCGTTGATCCAAATTTGATAACAAATAAGGATATGATCATTCTGTGTTAATTTTGAATGATGGCTCTTTTTGCTCTTTTAATAGCAAAAAAGGATTTCATTTAATTATCATAATTATTTTCATGATTAAAAAAAGTTAAATTCCTTTTCTTTCTTCTAATAACATTTAATAATCTCTACAAAATGTTTTAAAATCAATATATATGTGATCTCTAAACTCATAAATATTAATTTTTGCATTTAAATATATTAAAATAAAGATATATTTTTTTTTTGTTTTTTTAAAATAAAATTTTTAAATTTAATAGAAAAATTAAATATTTTAATATATAAAGTTAAACTATCATTATTTTCTTATTATTTAAATCTTTGATATTTAAAATGTTAAAAAACTTAATACCAATACAACAAAATATCTTGATCTTTGATTAATATATTTGGATAACAACATATGATATGATTATTAATAAAAAATAAGATATCATTCTTTAAATATAGTTAAATAGTTAAACGAAGTGTCATTCTTTAAAACTGATACTCGTTAAATTTATAACATCACTTCACTTCTTTATACTAATCCCCAGGTATTGGCCAGTTACCAAAAATTCACCAAAATCGGTGGTTAGAATGATCTGCGATAATGAAAGGTATAGGTGACTTCGGGATAGCATCAGTTGTTGGCGAGTATTCGTTTTGGCAATGTCGTTTTCTTCTTCTTCTTTGATTTCTTCTTTGTATTTGACTAAATGAATTTTTTGTAGAAAAACGTGTAATTCTTGTAGAATAACGGTACGTTTTGTGGAGAATATTTGTTCCAATTGCTAGTTGCCAGTGAAAGTTTAATATGTAATGTTCGGCGTGTGTATATGATTTATAAATCATGATTTCGTATGAGTGATGCAATTTTTGTGGTTTTATTGTGTCAGGAATTTAGCATATTATAAACTGTGATTTGTGCAATGTTCATTGAGTGCGCGAGAAATTGCATTTTTACAATTTTTTTTAACATATTACATATACAAGTAATTATATTTCAGACTATTTTGAAATAGAAATAATATGAAAAGAATTGATATTTTTTATTAACAAAAGTTTATTTTATAAAGTTTGTATTAAAACTTTATATGCATACAAGTCTTTATATGTATGTATTTGTTTTATAAAAATATACGAAACTTTTAGATTAAAGTTTCTAGAAATTAGTATAACAACTTAATATTAGTTCAAGTGTGATACAATACACAAATATTATATACATTTAAAATATAATAGTTAGTTTTTATTAAAATTATATTCATATAGAAATAAATTATATTTTTGAATTTTATAAAGATTTATACAAAAAGACAATTATAATTATAAAATTGAAAATTAAACATTTTTTATTATATTTACAATTAGTTTTTTAATAGAATTTCAATTAAAATTGCTTTATCGTATTGAAATAAATAATATATTTAAAATATTTAATATATTAAATATTTATAATGTGTTATCCAAAATATTTTAAAATTTTATAATCTATCAATGCCATATTATTGAAATATATAGAATCAAAATGGAAATAAGATCTTTTAACGTGCTAATCATCTATTGAAATCTTAAATTATTTAAATATATAAGAGACCCATAAATAATAAATTAATTTCTATTCCTTAAAATATATTTTTGTATTCGTGTTTTTGATATTTAATATTTAAGGCTCCAAAACCAAAGATCCTAAGAATATTACAAGGTCAAGACGAAATTGTGAAAATTCTTCGGTAATAATCGCGCAAATATAAACTTGGCCGGTATCACATTGCAGTATAGAATAATAATTCGTTTTATTGACGCAATAACTACTCTTTTCCACGGTTCTTTTTATCAAACACGAGGAATGAAATTCGATCCAACATTTCTAGCCAAGTGCGACGATATAAATATGAGATACGATGAAAAGTAATTGAGAAAAGTTGATGAGAATTTGTATCGAATTTATCGATATAATTAACAAGAATTTATTATATAATATATAAAATATAATATAATAAATTATTTAATTTACTTTTAAAATTGACATATTATTGTATAACAGATATATTCGTAAAAATATTAGAAAAAAGTAAATTATATATATGAATATAAATACATTGTTTTCTTGTGCACATTTTTGTAACTAATATAAAATTCATAATATATATCTATATATATTGATTTAATGAATTTTTCAATTTGAATATTATAATAACGATTATTTGATAAAAATTATTTGAATTATTTTCAGGTCTCAAGCGCGTAGCTTGGCCACCACCTCCGGAAGATCAAGATTTCGACTTTATAGAGCAAGGACCTATACAAGCGAAGGTAAATTTTACAATTTTTAAAAATCGTATTGAAATATAGATACATATGCTTAATAATACTAAATAGAATGATTACGTACATCTGTTTATAATATGAATTATATCCTTAAATCATAATTATCGAATTTTGTAGAATTTTTAAACGCGATTTCAATTCAACTTTTTGTCGATGTTTATTGTAACGAATGCGATTAGATTTTTGCATTTTTCTCCGAATTACGTGTGATATTTGACTTATTTTTTTTTTTTTATCTTGTTGTTTATTCCTATATCTGTTATGCAAATGTTCCCTTTTTTTTCTTTCTTTTTTCTTAATGAATACATGTATATACATATTTCCTTTCGTGCTTGCTGTGAAATCGTAATTAGATAAATCTAGAACGATACTGTGAAATCATTGATTTCAAGAAATTTAAAATTTATCTATAAAAATGTAAATTTTAAATAATAAATAATATTATATAAATACATATAACTCGAGTTTGAATTGAATTGAAAAGGATACCATATCTTTGAAGTAATGAAATATTCTAATTATTTTAAATATTTAAAAATATTTAATAAAATCTCATATTAAATTAAATAATTTAATTACTTAAATTCTTTGTATGCGACATTTTTACTGCTATATAAAATTAAAGTTTAAATAAAATTAAAAATAATAATGTGAAAAACATTAGTTATAAAATATTGAAAAAATTAATATCTAAGATGTAAAGATTAATAGAAACAGAACATGGTAGATATTAATGAAAATAAAATTTATTTATTTTGTATTATGTATAATTTATTAAATAAATTATTGATAAAATATATTTTTTAATGCAATAACAACATCATAAAACAAACATAAAATTTAGTAGAATTTATTCATAATTTTATAATCATTTTTAAAGATAAATGATGAAAATTACGAATATATATAAACAAGAAAATGGAAAATAGAAACATTTTAAAATAACTTATTTATTATTTTTTATTTTTTATCTTTTTTCTTTTGTAAAAATAATATTCTATAGTTATCGCATAGCATTTCTCAGATACATTTTTCATTTAAATATTATTTCGAATCAACCGTGATCTTACACTGTGCAACTATATACAAATGTTTGAGAAACATAATACAGTCTCGTTCTAGGATTTCGTGCACGTTGCTGATTCGTACGTCCGTAAAACATTAATACGTATTGTAAATGCACACTTCATGACGCGGTTGACTACACCACTGTGGTTGTCGAGGCGGATATCCCGAAATAATAAATTCCTCCAACGAAAAATCTTCGAATGTTTCGCACAAAACAATTCAAAAGGATGATCAAAAAGTAATCACCGTTCGACATAGAAATACCTACAAAATACCTACAAAAGCCTTTGTTTTTCCCTTTTATTCTCCCTTCGAAAGACCCGTGGAATCGGTGATCTCGCCTCGTACCAGAGCAGTCCCTCATCAGGTTCATCACCTCAGCCGCCCTCAACGATAGCTCGTTCCTCGACTCGGAGTGCCATACCATCCTCTCCATCCCCGGTTAGTCCTGGTGGAACATTGCGACAACCGTCATATTTTCAATCAACGCCAAAGGGTTGGCATCCGGTTACACCACCGGCAACTTCACCGCAACAATCGATTCAACCAAATTGGTACAATCAACAGCAACAACAGAATCAGCAATTTCAAGTAAGTAATCGAAACATAGATGTCGACTTATGTCAAAATATATATCGATATGTATTGTATATTAATAATTGAAACAAATGTGAAAGAACAAAATGAAAATGTGAGATAAAATTTTCTTTTATTAAACTTCGTTTTTTGTAAAAATAATAAAATATTTCATAAATGATATCATCATTTAAAAATAAGATTATATAAAAATTAATTATATAAATTAAAAGTGGTATGCTAAAAAAATTTTCTTTTATTAAACTTCTATTAAACTACAAATAGAGAAAGAAAAAAATGAATATAATAAAAATTATAAATATAAGATTAAACTTATTAAAATGATTTTAATTTTAAAAAGTCGACACCTATGTACAATTGATAAATTCAACAGGTGGCTTCAAAGAAGATATGCGCGAAGGAACTTATTAACACCTTTCTCCTCTACTCTGGAAACAAACGTGTAGTCAACGGCTGTTAATTTCAAAATGTATCTCTTTCAGATATTTAATACATTGATCTGTCATGATTTGTTATATTACAATTATATATAATTTATAGGATTAATCTGATCGCATATTACTAATTGCAGCAGCACTCTCAAGATTATACTTCTCTACGATCGATACAAAATCAAGCTCCTACGACATTTGAAGCACCACCATCCACAATCATACTTCGCCCAGAGCCTCCAATCTCACAGGTATAATATTATACGAATATTATATTTCTAATTTTTCTGTATGAAAGAGAACAAAAGAATAATCATTTTATAAAAAATATCTTTTAGATTAAAAATTCTTTTTTATTATTAATTGTATACAAGAAAAACATTTGATAAATATATTTCGCTATTAATTTTATTTATTTAAAAAACTTTGTTTCATTATTAATATTATTCATTCGAGTTATCGAAATTTAATGGGATATTAATCCTGATTTTAAAAATTGGTAATAATAAACGTAATTAATTTTTTTAATAATGTAATGAAATTATAAAAAATTCAAAAGATGATTTAAAAAATAATCATATATCTTAATACTTATTCTTTATTGATTATATTATATTAATAATTAAGATCATTTTTTTTATCAATTATTTATATTTTATATAGAGTGTTCGAAATGGAAAAAATAATTTAAAGTGTGATATTTTAGAAATTAAAACAATATTTATTTATGATAATATACATTTATAAATAATTTAATATTATTTTAGGCACCAGCGCCAGTTTATCAAGCACAACCTGCTGCAACTAAGGCTCCCATAAGTGGAAATATGAGAGGAGATCTGAAGTGGCCGCCACCATCAGTTAAAGCTCAAACAGAAGCTGAAAACAGAGCTAGAATGGAATTGGCAAAAGGTCCTGCTTTTAGGCCTCGTAGGGTGCAGAAAGATTATTCCGGATTTTTCGCTCAACATGCTTTGAATAATACATATCCAGGTTATCGAGCTCCACCAGGCACTCAATATTTTACTCCTTCTTATCATCATTAGCAAATTTATTCAAAAATTATTTACTTTTCTCGTAATTTTGTCCTGAGCTCGATTTTTTATAACTTTTGCGAGAATCATGATGCATATTTTATTCGAATGCTGCAGAAATTCTTTTAAATTTTAAACAAAAAAACAAAAAAATCACTCAGGATCATTCTCATTGAATTTCGAAATTTGTGCATTGAAAAAAAGAACCAAAAATATAAATATAAATATAAATATAAAAATAATTCAATGTTTGGTTAATATATATGTTTCGATTTATTTTTTTATATATAAGACTTAGAACTGTACACATATAATTTATATGTGTTTTGCTCTTCCAGTTCTTAGTTTAAAATAATAAAATTTTCGCAAGATATACAAAAGGTTCTTAAAATGTATTCTTAAAATATATCCAAATTTCGAATTTCAATATATTTTGTATATATTGAGACTGATGGAATTGGCTTTTTATTGCCATGACTTATACTCTCATATTTGAACAATAACTGAAAATAACAATAATATATATTTTAAAAATATTTATCATATTCTTTTCCATCTTTCTCTTTTAAATATGAATAAAATTTAATGTTTTCAGCAGTATACTGTTATTTTCCATAAAATAATCACAATTAAGTGAAATACGTATTTCTATAGAATATTGTCATTGATAAAAAATATTTTAATTCAGATTTCTCGACGACTAACGAATTCAATATTAGAATAAATCGAGTAAAATACGAAAAATATTAATGAATAAATCATTAATATCGAAAATATTTGAAAAGAAATTGACCATGTGTCTATTAAACGAATAACGAAACTTTTTAATAATGTAATATATCGATGTGTATAAATAAAAGATATTTACAAATAACATTATTAAATATAATTTTTCTTTTTTTAATAAAATTTATTTCAAGATACAACATGAATATAAGATAAAATTTTTTTACTTCACAAATATGTTTTTGTTATATTGGTTTTGTTTTGTCAAATGCGTTTATTTACTAACAATGTATAAATTGTTTTATACAATTTATAGAATATCCAGTTTTGGAATAAATCATATTTTTATTTATTTATTATGTTTATTCTAAAGTAAAGCAATAAATTATTTAAATAAATTTTAATAATAATTTTCATTTTTTTATAATTTAAATAAGCTTTTGTCATGTACAGTAGAATAACTTCTTAACACTGTTGTGCAAGTTTTTTTTATCAAATAATTAGTACAATTAAAATAATTTAATTGTATTTTTAATTTTTAAAAATTAAACTATTAACAAATATTTTTTACATATTTACTAATAATTTTCCCTGAGTTCATCTCTTTTTTGAAATCTAAATATAATATAATAATTTTAAATACTATTTTATTTAAAATAAAGCATTAATAAAATTATAAAATTAAAAATTTAGTAAATCCTATTTGAATAATATTTAAATAACATAATATAACATTTGCATGTTATTTTTTGAACCAGTTGCTTACATTTTGAAATATGTATCTATTCCTTGTACAATCATGATTACAAAATATTATTAATTAGATTTAGATTAAATAAATTGTAGAAAAATAGAATAACAATAATGTAAATTTTTCCATTTAACCACTCAGATATATAGCCTCTAAAAAAAGATATAGAATGATTTATAATTTTTCAATATTAATAAAATTTCAATTTAAGCCTGAGATAAAGTTATATATGGCATGATTACAATAGTAAGTTATACTAATGAAAAGCCATGAGTTTGTTGAATTGCTTGTAATAATTTATATCGTAATCTTTCTCGAGTTTGATATCGAGGAAGATCAAGTAAATTAAAACATGTATGAGCAACAGGTAATAAACGTTCATCATTCATTGGTTGTATTGTAATCTAAAATAAAAAATATTATAATACTACATTAAATAATATGAAATCAAACATACGAAACAACTTACTTTGATTGCTTTCATGCCTTGTATAGGTATTCTATCACTTCCTGTTAAAAATAGTAAGAATTTTTTCTTTTCTTCCAACGGAAGTTCACGAAATACTTGCCAAAATAATACAATAGTAGGATTATCTTTTGTGTATCCTTCTTTATATGCTGCATTCTTTTCTAACTCTTCCCAATCATAATCTTCATTTCCTACTACTACAGCCATAAGTTCATAACTATGAAATAATTCCAATACACGACCGCCGCAAACTTTATGAAAACCTTTATAAAATGCTTGAAAATGAAGATCTACAGATTTATTTAATGTATAATCTACGTATAAATCAACAAATTGTTTTCTGTAAACAAAAATAATTTCATTAAAATATAAAATTTAAAATAAGAACATAAAACAAAGAATTAAAAAAAAAAATATGCATACTTATTTTTCCATGTAACAGGAACTTTACTACCATCAGGTATGAGTTCATATATTTTCTTTTCACCAAATACTTCTCTAACTATTTCAAAATGTAAACCAAAAACTTCTTCAAAATCTGCTTCTTCATAATCTAATATATTTTGCATACTTCTAAAATAATATTAATTATATTGAATGATTATTAAAAATATTATATATTATAACAAAATTTATTTTATAAATTTATTTTAAATTAAGAAAGAAAGATATAATAAAGTATAAAATATAATATAAAGATATTTATGATTAAAATATAATTTACTTGGCAAGTACTGGTGACATATCTTTCATATCAATTAAACCAACTGGTTCATGTAACAATTTCTTATATAAAGCTAATGGAAATGGCAAATCAATAATAATAAAATTATAGATAACTAGTCCACAAAGAATTCCAATTAAAAAATACATATTTTCATCTTCAAGTGAATCTTCACTAAACCATATAATTCTAGTTTCTTCATATTGTTTAAACATGCCATATTTAGGATCTAAAATTTCCCTTAGTAATAGCATAAAGAATTCTTTTTTAACTCCACCTGCATCTTCTGCTTCTTCACCATGAAATTTTACCTTTATAAATCAACTTTATGAGTTGTGTTTTACAAATAAAATATTTAATGGAATAAAATTATGTACTAATACTCACTCGAAGAGGCTTTTTTAAATCACTAGAATTATATTGTGACAATTCTCGCAAAGTATCAGCAACAATATTTTCCCGCGAAACATTCAATATTACAAATTGATTATGATGTGGTATAGAAAATGGATCAAAAAACATTTGATTCATTACAGCTAGAGTTGCTGCCTCATTCATTGCTGATTGCATCTAATATAGATAAGCAAATTTAATATAAAAAATATATAAATTTATTTAATATAAACTTCTATTTTACCTGAATAGCTTGATCCGTTTCAAGAAGTATAATTTTAGCATTTGCATCAAGAAGAAAAGGATAATTACAGAATACTTTTTGGCACTGAAAAAAAATTGTAATTGTGTAAATAAATTATAAATATTTGATTAAAAGAATTTTTAAAAGATTGTATCAAAAGTTTAATAAGAAAATATTATAATAAAAAATTAAGAAAATTAAGAAAATTATATGCATAACGTACAGAAAAAGATTCTTTTTCTGAAATCCATTTTATATAATCAGTTCTTATATCTATAAGTTCTATTAATTCTGGTAAATGAAATGTAGAATAAGGTACTTTATTGCCTTCATCGCCTTCGTTATTCAATTTATTTAATAAATGTAAAGAATCTAAGATAACTTGCAATGTCACATCCCATGATACAGCCTATATAACAATTTTTAAGATATATTAATTATTTATTTTTATAATAATAAAATAAATAACTCTTGAATATTACCTTATTTGATTTAAACTGTTTTACATAATGTAAAACGACTGATTTATGAACTCTAACTAATCTCTCAAAATAATGGGGTGGTGTCTTAAGCCACCAACTTGTAACAGTTTTAAGAATCTCTGGCTTTAATGCTAAAATAGCTTTGCAAAATGGCTTATGCAATGAATTACAATTAAGAGGATTTACAAAACCATGATATAAAGGTAATATTAAATAGATTCTTAAAGATTCCGTACAAATTATTTTAGATGATAAATTAACAAAAGAAGGAATCAAACTGTCTGTTATACAAGTAAATATCTGAGAAAAGAATAATAAATTTATTGTAATTTCAAACATAATAATATTTCATAAAATCTATATTTCTTATACCAATTCTATATTTATATACCAATTCTTGAATTGTCTTGTTATCCAACTCTCTAATAATTCCAAATAATCTACTAGCTTGATCAAGATCCACCCCATGATGCTTACTTGAACATCCATAATGAGCATCATTTTTAAGTAAGAATGATCCAGTTATACAGGACAAACTTTTAAATACAGTTTCTAAATATCTATAAGTATATTAATTCATAAAATTTGTAATTTATATTACTATTTGTATATAAAAAAAAGCAAAATCATAATTTTTTATTATCAGTTGAAAAAAGAAATTTAAAAAAATTCAATAAATTCTACACATCTAAAATAGCTTTAAGTACTAACTTTCCTACTCACGTCATAAGTTCATGATCAATAGATGAATTTGGCGGAACTCGTTGACATGCCATTAGTTGATCTTCAATTATTGTAAGAATTTGAGAAGTGCTCTCTAGTATTCTACAGTCATCTGGTTTTACAATATCCTAAAAGCAATATATATATTGAATATATATATATATATACACACACACACACACACACACACACATACTACTATCATTAATAAATTACATTCATATGTATTTTATTAATTCTAATTGTAAGAAAATATTTACATTCTGTGAAATTACTGTGGCAAAACAATGATCTCCACCAGTGAAAATATGTTTAACAACATAACCAATTGTACGAGAATTGAATTGCTTATTAACGTCTATTATTGTTGAACCATTTGGTGCAATCCATGGACCATGTACTACTTGTGGAGTTGTTACGCTTCGAGTTGAATGATTACCTAATTGTCCTGCACCACCTAAACCCCATGCATAAACTCTACCTCTTGATGGTACTAATGCCAAAGTATGTCTTTTACCACATGAAATCTTAAAATTAAATATTGAATAATATAAACATATTATATTAATAGATACAAGATATACTAAAACTATTTTTTTGTATAACATACTTGTGTAACTGTGCTACCCATAAGTTCCATCACTTGACGAGGTAAAATTTCATTACTATTGCTTCCA